CCCGCCCTCGCTTGGGCAACGTCGATGACTTGGTCGGATGTACGGGAGAAGCAGCCTACCGTACACAGTGAGGGAGCTTCTCGACGGGCTTCGCCAAACTGCCGGGAATCACTATGGTGATGCCGTCGACCAGGGAGTTCGACAGCCTTCTCTGCGGGGCAGGACGACAAAGTGGTCGTCGACCTGCACAGGCCTGTCACGAGGCTGGAGCCGTCGACCAGGGAGCTCGACAGCTACAGCTGACTAGGCTGGTCGACGGGTGCGCGGTGTAGGCGTCGCAGTGCCCGTGTCTCCGGGTCCAGCACCCCCAGAACCAGAGCCTCCCGCAACGACACCCCCGGTGTCTCCAATGCCTCCCGCAGGAACACCCCCAGGCTCCACAGCGTCCGACCGCAGAGACAAACGAGGAGGGAACTACGGGACGGACAGGAAGTCGGGGGTGACGCAAGGCGAGGCCGCCGACTCGAGGCTGCCGTGTCGTCCACAGGAGTGACCTCTGCGGAAATAACTCTAGCAACGGGAGCTAGTCTATAGGCTAGGCACGGGTTGGGAGTGATCGTAGCATTCGATCCTTAATCGGTAACTCGTGCTCACATTACTGGCGCATTCACGGGAAAATCTGGCAAGAGTTTTACTAGCAAGAGTTCACACAACAAAAGTTCAGAAAGATTCCAACAAGGTTGGCAAGACTGACTACATCAGAGCTAGCATGCAAGTCGGCCGATTGCCAGCGCAGCACGGTCGACCGCGGTCCAGCACGACATGGTCAACCGCGCTCCAGCAGTGCAAAGGGCGGCCCGCCAACGCTGGAAGTCGACGGCGTGCCAACATCGCAAGTCGACGGAGTGCCAACGTCACACCCACAGGACAGCAGCGCACGTGCTTCGCAGGCGCTCGTAGATGATTGGCATGCTGTGCCTCGTCACCTGCACATCGCACACACCAACTCGTCCTCGTGCTGAGGACTGCACCTGATCAGCCACGTCGACCTCGGGATACCACCACCGAGGTCGGCCTCGCCAAAACCACCTGGGCGACCGTCGCACTCCTCCGCAGAACCTCGTCGCCAGGGTAACCCGGTCGAGCGGGCTACCACCACGTGGACCAGCTCCTCCTTGTGCCCGTCGGCCACCCAGGTCGTCGACCACCACCGGTCGACCACGCCAAGTCGACCACGCGCCTGGTCGACCAGTACCAGGTCGACCAACCTAGTTGTCAGCCGACCAAGTCCGCTGCCCCAAGTCGGCGTCCCCAAGTCGACGCCCTCCACAGGTCGACCTCCCAAGTCGACCTCCCGAAGTCGTCGCCCTCCCGAAGTCGGCGCCTTTCCAGTGGCCTCCCCGTGCAGGTCGACCAGCTCGACCACTGTTTCATGTCGGCTGCACCTCCCGCACACCTGACCACGAGGTCGGCTCCGCCCAAGCGAGGACGAGGCCAAACACCACTCCTGTTGACAACCTCCACGCCCCCACCCCCTGCACCCCCAGAGCCGACACCACCAGCTCCAGCAGCCCCAGTACCCTCACCCTCCGCAACTGCACCTCCCTCACCCCCGGACTGGACGCCGAGGGGGAGACGACTGCGGAGTCACGTGCGACACACCTGACGGGGCAGGACGCGAAGGGGGGGGAGCTACTCGGGCGACAGTGGGGGGCTTAGGAGTGAGGAACAGCGAGGGGGGGAAAGGCCTCAGAACCTCGGTGGGGGCGACTCCTGTAGTATCTGACCGACTCGTCGAAAGTGGCGTCCTGAGAGGCAAACAACTTATGGGTGACCGGGTCGTACAACACCGAGCCTGAGGCGTCGAGTGGGAAGCCAGGAAAGACGCAGGCACGGGTGCGCGCAGACAACTTGTTCGCGCCAGGGCCATCAGGGCCCCGCGGTGGAGGTTGCCGCAGGCGCTGCTGCTGAACCCGCCACTGCTGCTGCTGCGGTCACCGGTGCTGTTGCCACTGCTGCTGTTGCGGCCACCGTTGCTGCTACCACTGCTGCTTCTGCGGCCACTGCTGTTGCTGCCGCTGTCGCCACATCGACATGGCACGCTAGTACGGGGGTAGGGGCCAGTCGAGGCGGCAGTATTAATGGTAGAACGGCCTAAGCTGCTGCTGGGTATGCTGGGGGCCCTATGCTGATGCTGGTGCACTGGGGGCAGTCTATGCTGCTGCTGGTGCGCTGGTGGCAGCCTAGGCTACTGCTAGTGCGCTGGCGGCTGTGGAAGCTACTGCTGGTGCTACTGGTGCCAGCCTAAGCTGCTGCTGGTGCGCTGGGGGCAACTTATACTGGTGGTGCTACTGGTGGCAGCCTAAGCCGCCTCTGCTGCTACTTTTGGCAGTCTAGGCTGCCGCTAGTGCGCTGGAGGCGATGGAAGTTGCTGCTAGTGCAGGTGAGAGAGGTCTAGAGCGGTGAGGAACGATCTGGTGCGGTTGAGTGCGGTGAAGGGCGGTTGGGACACGTTGAGAGTGGTCCTTTGCGGTGAAGGGCGGTTTCTCGCGGTTGGGAGTGGTCTAGTGCGTTTCTCGCGGCTGGAAGTGGTCTAGTGCGGGTGAGAGGCGGATCCGGTGCTGTTGAATACTGTTCAACGGTTTTGGAATGGTTGAGTGAGGTTGAAACGGGTGGAGGGCGGTTGAGGCGGCTGTTAGGGTTTAATGCCGTGGTCTGAGCTAGAGAGAGACAGGATAGGGCAGTAGGGAGCCGCGGCAGACAGTGTAAGGGCGGAAATGAGGGGGTGGGGGGGGGGGGGGGGGGGGAGGGGGGGGGAACACGTTGGGGGTGGGGTCAGCTAGCACGGGCCACGAGGCCATCGACCACAGGCCGCGTGGCTCACTACCGTCAGGCCGCGGGGCTGGCTAACAAAAAAAGAGGCCGCGGGGCTCGCGTACTACGGTCGTTCAACGGGCGACGGGTGGGGCGCGCACGGGAAACGGACGGGCGACGGGCGAGGAAAAGGAAGATATATGCAAATCCTACCAACCCTGAGCACGAAAGTACACCACCTAGACAAACAAGTAGAAGCTATAACAAATATAGCTTGACGCGAAGTACCACATCGACGACACCGTTGAGCGCGAGAAGGTAAGGCTGGCCGTGAAGGGCTTCACGCATGTGTATGGCACCGACTACGACGAGACGTACGCGCCGGTGAGCAGCTACGTCACGTTCAGAGTCTTCCTTAGCATCGTCGCCGTCCTTGACCTCAACCTGATGCAGCTCGACATGAAGAACGCCTTCCTCCAGAGCAAGCTCGACCGGGTGCTGTACATGTACGAGCCGGACTACTACAACGAAGGGACCGGCCGGGTGTGCAAGCTGCTGAAGAGCGTTTACGGGCTGAAGCAGTCGCCGCTGCTGTGGTACAAGACACTTGACGACGTGCTGGTCGGAGCTGACTGGAAGAAGAGCCAGGTCGACCAGGCCCTCTACTTCAAGGTCGGCGACGATTTGGCGACCTGCTAGGTGCTAGTCTATGTTGACGACCTGCTCGCCGCCAGCAGCAGCACCGCGATGCTGAAGGAGCAGCTGGAGGCTGCCTTCAAGCTGCGCGAGATCTCGCCGATTGTGAAGTGCCTCGGGCTGGAGATTGTCCGCTATCGGATGGAGTGGAAGCTGTGGCTACACCGGCAGGGCTACGCCGACAAGCTGCGCAGGCGCTTCATCGACGAGGAGCAGGGCGGTCGAGCAGGGCGGTCGGTCGGTCTCAGTCGACGCCTACGCCGAGCTGACATTCGACGACGAGGAGGCTCAGGAGCGCGAGGAGGAGGAGTACCGGCAGAAGGTCGGCTCTCTGCAATTCGCAGCGACAACGACGAGGCGGGACATTGCCTTCGCTTGCAGCGAGTTGGGAAGCAGCCTCACAGCGAGGAGCGACCAGCACTGGCGCGAGGTCGACCACTGCCTCACATACCTCGCCGACACCCGTAACACGGCCCTGGAATTCGGCGGTTGACCAGAGTCGCTGAAGCTGGTCGGCTACGTGGACGCCGACGGCGCTGGTGACAAGCAAATTTTGACGAGCACGGGCGGCTACGTAATCGTCTACGGAGGGGCCTCCGTCTCCTGGTCGAGTCAGCGCATCAAGTGCGCGACACTGCCGTCGACCGAGTTGGAGTATGTGGCGGCCATGGAAACTGGCAAGGAGTAACGCCGACTTCGTTTCCTCCTTGCAGAGTTCCAGTAGCTAGACGCTGGGACACCGACCGTCCTTCGGGTGGACAACAAGTCGGCCACCCTGGTCATGTCTCCCTATCAAACCACCCTGGTCATGTCTCCCTATCAAACCACCCTGGTCATGTCTCCCTATCAAACCACCCTGGTCATGTCTCCCTATCAACCCACTGTGTGCATGTCTTTTCGTCCCACTCACGCCCTTCTCGCAAGCTGTGTCAGGCGAAGCTGCAATTCAAACGCGTCAAGACCGCAGCTGCTTAGGATGACGTGTTAACACAGCAGGCTTGTGCCACGAGGTGTTTTTGGGAGAAGTAATAACACCCATTTAGGCAAGCTGTGTCAAACGAAGCTGCTCTTCAAACGCGTCAAGTCAAGACTGCAGTTGCCTAGGAGGATGTGTCAAGGCTGCAGAACCCGGGCCACAGGAGCCCAATTGGAGTAGCCAGGTGCAGATCGCAGAAAAGGTATATACTTTGGTAGTATGACAGGCACCGGCCCATTGACCCAACAGTTATCACGCTTTACTAATCATATAACATAGTTTAGTACAAGCAGAAGTTTATACAATATGGTACATATACAAATAGCCCACCGTAACATGAGCAGCACCCACATGCTTCTGCACTACTTGCTTCTACTCCTGCGTCTAACCGTCTTTCAGTCCAGCGCTGTACATGTAGTCATCGCTGCACCTTGCAGTGCGGAACCCTTGCCTCAGCCGCACAGTGTCATTTATGAAAGTGGAGTGGGCTGTGCTGCCTGCAGCAACACGCTTCCACAAGTACTTGCTCACCAATGACATGTCATGTCACCCACTCCCCTCGCACTGCCCAACACTACCCCTCTTTCGGCCCGGCACTGCAAATGTAGTGGTCACTGCACATTGCAGTGCGGAACCCGTGCCTCAGCCGCACAATGTCATTCGTGAAGGTGGAGTGCGCTGTGCCCAAAAAGCCAGCACCCAGGGCGCACACCAGCTTCTCCAGAGTGGCGACGGCTTGCGGGGTGGTCTTGATATTGATGCCCTGTTTGGGGGGAAGGAGGAGGGGAAGGTGGTTGAAGGGAAGGGGATGCTAGTTTTGGAGGAGGAGGGTACACCAGCCAGCACGTCCTGCAGCTTCCCAGTGTGGCGGCGGCTTGAGGAGTGGTCTTGGAATCAATTCCCTGGGGAAGAGAGAATGGCAAGTTATGAATGAGGTTGGAGGGGGAAGGAAGACCTGAATGATGACGGAAGCACATCAGCGGCCAGCGTGCCTGCTGCCGAGGTCGTGAATCGAATGGAAGAAAGACCACAAGCAGCCTTGGAGACCTTCAAACAGACCCAAAAGTCACAATGGCACCTAACTTGTGCTCCATTGGACCGGCCCTAACCAGCATTCGCCAACTTTCACCACCCTCCAGCACCCATCATCACCACCCTTCACCACCCCTCACCACCCTTCACCAGCCTTCACCAGCATTTGCCAGCTTTGACCGTGAATAACTGTTCACATTGAGCGTCTTTTGGGAATTCTCAAAACCAGTCAACCTTTAAACCTGCACAGTGTAACACTGCTGCCAACTCACATTTTCCATAAGCGGTTGAAGCCACGTGCTGCTGTCCTCTTTAGAGAGCAGATGCGCTAGCGTTACAAGCTGCACTGCATTGCTGCTGCCATTTAAAGCGTCAGGACCGCTGCTGGTGTTGGCAGGCTGCTCATCATGCAGTGAAGCCTCAACTCCACTTGAACCACCAGGCAGCTTGCGCCGGGCGATCGCGGGCATCGACCGCTGAGATCGTTGATCCAACGGCTGAGAATCGGGCCCAGTCAGCTGTGCAACCCCCTGCAGTGAGCGCGGTGCTTTGGGTGGCAGTGGCATCTCCTCTTGCTGGCCTCTGCTCTCGAGCTGATCTGCAAGTCGACTCAACAGTCTTCTCTCAAGTGTCTCAGAAACTGGCTGTTCCTGCTCCACTGCAGCAGCTGTAGCAGCAGCAGTAGCAGCACCAGCAACAGTAGCAGCGGCATCAGCCGCAGCAGCCGTAGCTGCGTTCTCCAGTGGCTGTTCTTGAGGGGTCTCAAGCAGCGTTGCTGCAATGGCTGCTACCTCTTGTGGCCGGGCGTTGGTGGCGAGGAAGACGAGGGGGACACGGGCTGCCACAGCAGCAGCACGCATGCACTGTGCTGCCTGGTCGACTGGGAGGAAACAGCCGTCCGATGGGTGCTGGTGGAAGGGATGGGAGAGAGAGCGGAGCGGGGAATGCGAGAGATGGGATGGCATGGGACAGGACGGGATGCAGGACGGGATGGGATGAGATGCGATGTGATAAGATGGGATGGGATGGGATGGGATGGGATGGGATAGGATGGGATGGGATATGGGATATAAGATATGGGATATGGGATGTGGGATGGGATGGGATGGGATGGGAAAGGATGAGATGGGATATGGGATATGGGATGGGATGGGATCGGGCAAGTCGTACCTTCTTGCGGCAGTAGTCCTTGAAGTCACCCCTCCTGAATTGCACTGCCAGGAACCGGCCATTGAGCAGATGGCGCTGCACTATGTGGCGTGCTGCTGCTATGAGCGCCTCAGGGGGCTGTGGAGTGGGGGCGAGGGAAGAAGGAGAGAGCGCATGGAAAGAGACGGAGGGAGAGAGGGGATTGACGCGGGGCAGATGGCGCTGCACTATGTGCCGCGCTGCTGCTATCAGTGGCTCAGGGGGCTGTGGAAGCGGGGCTGGGCGGGAATCTCCCATCTGGGCGGCAATCTCCCATCTGGGCGGCAATCTCCCATCTGGGCGGGAATCTCCCATCTGGGCGGCAATCTCCCATCTGGGCGGCAATCTCCCATCTGGGCGGCAATCTCCCATCTGGACGGCAATCTCCCATCTGGACGGCAATCTCCCATCTGGACGGCAATCTCCCATCTGGGCGGCAATCTCCCATCTGGGCGGGAATCTCCCATCTGGGCGGCAATCTCCCATCTGGGCGGCAATCTCCCATCTGGGCGGCAATCTCCCATCTGGACGGCAATCTCCCATCTGGACGGCAATCTCCCATCTGGACGGCAATCTCTCACCCGGATGGCGGGAGACGCGAGGCATGTTTCTCGTGGCACCACCTTGGCAGGCTTGGCCCTCCCCCTCTGCTTGCCTGGTGGTAGGGGCACCTGACGCTTCTAGATTGATTCAGGTGTTGTATCAATTTAACAAATAACATTTTTTCCCTCACCCGAATGGCGGGAGATGAGAGGCATGTTTCTCGCGGCACCACCTTCGCAGGCTTCGCCCTCCCCCTCTGCTTGCCCGGTGGTGGGGGCAGCAGGAACGGGAGGTCCATTGGGGCGAGCATGCGGAAGAAGACGGAATTCGTGATGGGTTGCTGTGGAAGGGGAGGAAGAAGGGGGGGAAAGGTATGGGGGGAGGGCATGGTGGAAGGATTTGAAAAGGTGAAGGCACCGAGGGAGCAGGTATGGGAGGTCCACTGGGGCGAGCATGCGGAAGAAAGTAGAGTCTGTGATGGGTTGCTGGGAGGGGGAGAGAAGTGGGGGAGGGTTAGGTGAGAATGTATGAAAGGGAAGAGGGCAAGGGAGCAGCAGGAACAGGAGGCCCATGCGAAACAGGTGGCATCATCAGGTGGCATCATCAGGTGGCATCATCAGGTGGCATCATCAGGTGGCATCATCAGGTGGCATCATCAGGTGGCATCATCAGGTGGCATCATCAGGTGGCATCATCAGGTGGCATCATCAGGTGGCATCATCAGGTGGCATCATCAGATGGCATCATCAGGTGGCATCATCAGGTGGCATCATCAGGTGGCATCATCAGGTGGCATCATCAGGTGGCATCATCAGGTGGCATCATCATGTGGCATCATCAGGTGGCATCATCAGGTGGCATCATCAGGTGGCATCATCAGGTGGCATCATCAGGTGGCATCATCAGGTGGCATTATCAGGTGGCATCATCAGGTGGCATCGCTACTGGTGGTGGTGACATGGACAGAGGGACGCACCTTATTGAACTCGCCAATCATCAGCACGCCATCTGGCACGCGGCTGTACAGTTTGAGGAAGGCTGCCATAGAGGGTTGAGAGGGGTGCAGTTGAAAGAGTATGACGTGGCATGGCATGTGTTGCATGGAGTGATGGTGGATGGCATGGCATGTGTTGCATGGCATGTGGTGCACGGCAGGTCAAGAGGGAGAAGGAAGAACACGACAAGGCTAAAGAACAATGTTCACACTGATGCATCACATCACATAGGCCTCTCTGCGAGCATGCCACGTCTGAACGATCCAACCACTCGCCACCACACCACACCACATTACACCTCACTCCAAACCACACCACAGTACACCACCACAGTTCCATCCTCATGGCATGCTCCAATGACTTTCTGCTGCGCTGGCCAAACCTCCTCTCTGCAACACTGCAGCCAAGCCCACCTTGCATTGAGTGTTTGCTTGGCATTCCCGACCACGCCCACACTACACTCGAGCATGGAAATCACTTTTGAGATCACTTTTGGGCTTGAGAATTCTTAAAAGTGATTTACACTACACTCGCGCCCAGCCCGCCCTGGTTCCATCAGCCCATTCCATCCCAACCCAGCCCAGCCCAGCCCATCATACAACACATGAGGCCAGCCCACCTTGCAGCGAGTGTTTGTCTGGCAGGCCCGACCACGCCCACTGCCCCACTGCCGTCACAGCCTCAATACAGTGCCAACACTACACTGCAGCCCAGCCCACCTTGCATAGAGTGTTTGTCCGGCAGGCCCGACCACGCCCACTGCTCCACTGCTGGCACTGTCACATTCGCCAAGCTGATGCGCCCCTTGCTCGCTCTGAACTGCCCTCTTGGTGCTGCTGCCCAGGTGTGGCGGGGGGAAAGGAGGGAGAAGGGGGGGGAAGGGGAAGGTTTTTGTTTCGCCTCAAAGACCACGCCCACTGATTTACTGCTGGCACCGTCACATTCCCCAGGCTGATGCGCCCCTTGCTCGCCCCTGAACTGCCCGCCTGGTGCTGCAGGAGAGGAGAGGGGCAGAGGGGAGACTTTTGAGGTGATTCAAAACCATTTGCCAGCCTGATTTGCCCCTTGCTCGCCATGAACTGCCCGCCTGGTGCTGCAGGGAAGGCGAGAGGGATTTGTGGATTGAGGAACGGGAAAGAGGGTTTTGAGGCGCTGCAGACCACCAGTGGTGCCGACGCGCATGAGTGGCGGCGGGGAGGGGAGGAGGAGGGGGAAGGGGAGAAGGTGCATATCTAAATCACCTCCCCAATGCAGCCCTGCCCCTACACCGTGCGGCCCTGCCCATCCCCAGTGGCCAGTGCAGGCCTGCTCTTCCCCTCATGCAGCCCTGCTCCCCCAGTGCGCCCCACTCACCAGCATCAGGCACGAGATGGCAGCCCCTGACGAGGCACAGCACGTGGGTGACCTCCATGCTGCCCCTGCCCACCTGCCCGGGGGGAGAGCATTGCGGGCGTGGGGCCAGGGAGAAGTGGCTGGTTATGCCTGGTAGGGAGGGAAGGGCTAGGGGCAGGTGGGAAGCGCACGAGGTGGCAGCCCTTGACGAGGCACAGTACGTGAGTGACCTGCATGCTGCCCCTGCCCACCTGCAGAGGGGGCGAAACGCGGGTGGGGGGTGGGGGCAGGGGCAAATGGGGGCAGGGGCAGATGGGGGCAGGGGCAGATGGGGGCAGGGCAGGGGCAGATAGGGGGTAGGGATACGACACGGCAGGCAGGGATAGGAGAAAAGAGTGAGATGCGGTGTTACCCAAGCATAGTGGCACACAACTATGTGCCTCATAAAGTGCCATGACCAAGACATGAGATGCCATGCCATGACACTATATTACATTAAGTTGCATAACATCGCAACACCTCACATCACATGACATGCCTATCAGATGGCATCGAATGACATGGGAGCACATGCCATCGCATTACATCACATCACATCACACACTGACGAGGCACAGGCATTAGCGTAATAGGGTATGGCACACACAAGGGGCATGGGGAACATGGGGCATGGGGCATTACAGCGGCAGCACAGATGGCTCACAAACTGCTTGTACTCGTCAAGGGTGAGGGCTGTCTTGGGGCCGTAGCAGGCACGCAGAAAGGGCACATCAAACACGAATGAGAGCGGTAGGGTTAGCTGGTGAGCGTTGGGGGCGAGCAGCGGGCGAGAAGGAGGGGAGGGAGGTGAAAAAAAAGCATGGTGATTTCTCTGCTGCACAGGTTCAACAGATGCAATGCCAGACTGAGAATAAAGAACTAATGGTATATGATAATACAGACCTCGAACGACTTGTTAGCTAGCTAAAGGCCTCTTGAGTTGAGCTTTTCTTAGAGAGACCAGTCCAACGGGTATGCAGGGCAGGGCGGGGCAGGGCAGGGCAGGGCGGGGCAGGGCAGGGCAGGGCAGGGCAGGGCAGGGCAGGGCAGGGCAGGGCAGGGCAGGGCAGGGCAGGGCAGCATACCTCGTGTGGCCCCGTGGGCACCACGAGCGTTCGGTTGAGAGCGCCTGCCATCAGTGCGAACTCTCGCAGACAGAAGAGATGGTTGGACATCTGCGTGGGTGACAGTCACACAGACAGGGGCGCACAAATGGGAGCAAGAAAGACCACATGGAAGGGCAGGGTAGGAACACTCTTTAGGTGCCTCAAGGCAAAAGAAATGGTTGGTTGGACTGGACATCTGCATGGGGTGGCACATAGGCAGGGGGGGGGGCATGAAGGGGCACAACAGAGGGGCACCATAGGGGCGATTGTGTACAATTGTGTACAGAGCAGAGCAGAGAAGGACCTGCCATACACACGGGCCATGGAATGTGGGACACGGCAACAACAACAGACAAGCGCCAGAGCCAACAACATGGATTGCCTGCTCTGCTCTGTACAGCAGACAAGCGCCAGAGCCAGAGGGAGGGGCCCATGCGGGTGCATCGAGTGCGCGTGCCCTTCCCTTCCCTTCGCATCTTCGACAGCAAGCAGGGCAGGGCAGAGCAGAGCAGGGCACGGCAGGGCACGGCAGGGCAGGGCAGGGCAGGGCAGGGCAGCTTAGTGGGAATATACGCTCAGAACCTAAAGCGTATAGCGTATATACGCTTGCGTTCATACGCAAAACGCTATACGCTAGCTAATACGCTATACGCTTTCAGAGTTTTTTAGGGGCTGCCCGGGAAAAAAAATCGTGTGTATACGGAAAGATGCGGAATCTCCTGGTGAGCATTTCGCCGAAGTCGAGGTGCAATTCGGGGATGTAGGGAAGCGGGAATGTGCCTTACAATCGCGTCTGGCAGTTCATATCTACAATTTTGAGTAGTACCGCATTGAAAACCATCCCATCTACGAACTCCAACCTGTCAAAAACGTTCCCCCAACAAACCCCACTCATGCTACTAACCAGCCAGCCCAACTGCACTCGACATTTCCCGCTTCCCAACAGAGCTCATCCCGATTCCTACTTTTCCTTCTAGCGATAGTGTCTACTACACATCCCACCCTAATCGAAGTTCAGACTTAGGAGAATGCTACGAAATTCTTAATGAAAATACGGAATACCTTCCCGATGTTGAGCGCGACATTGTTTTTCACCCTGCCCGGGAAGTTTTTTTCCTGCCCGAAAAAGCGGATTTCCAAACCCGTCCCTACAGCGTATAGCGTATATAAGATTGCGTATATACGATAAGCGTATATACGCAATAAGCGTATATTCCCACTAAGCAGGGCAGGGCAGGGCAGGGCAGGGCAGGGCAGGGCAGGGCAGGGCAGGGCAGGGCAGAGCAGGGCAGGGCAGAGCAGGGCAGAGCAGGGCAGAGCAGGGCAGAGCAGGGCGCCACTCTCACCCCGCCAGTGGAGCAGAGCGCCAGAAGGTACTTTCTGCCGTCGGGGCTCCACGGAGCACCCAGCAAGGGCTCGCTGGGAATGCCCCCGCTCTTCGCCACGTCAGCTGCCACGTCGGCAATGACGCCAGCAGCCAGGCTGGCATTGACCGAGGGGGGAACGGTGCGAGGGGGATGATCCGACCACCCGCTTATGGCAGTCATGGGGACGTAGAGCGCCCCACCAGGTGATGAGGGGGATGAGGGGGATGCGCATTGTGCTTGTATTGCTGATGCTGATGCTGATGCTGATGCTGAAGCTGATGATTTTGCTGTTGACGGTAACCCTTCTGACAATGTGGCAGCTGCTTCTGCTGGCAGTACTTCTGCTGCGGGAGCTGGTAACGACGCTGGTGACAGGGACGGCGGTGGCAAAGACGGCGGGGACTGAGAAGGCGGAGACTGAGAGGGAGTAGACTGGGAAGGTGGGGATTGTGAGGGTGGAGATTCTGATGATGCCACTGGTTCTGCCGGTACTGCTGTCAGCGATGCCAGCGCTGCCGACGCTGCTGACACCAGTGGTGCTGCGAGCGACGGCACAACTGAGGGGGGCGGCAGCGATGCGAGGGCGAGGGCTTGCAGGGCAGCGGCAGCAGGGTGGACAGCAGTAACGGCGCTGCCAACACCAGCACTAGCGCCACCACCGACACCACCACCACCACTGGTGGCATCAGTACTTCCGGCACCTACAGTCTCACTAGAACCAGCACCCTCCGTCTCAAAAAATTTGGGCCTTGGATGTTAGTTTGAGCTAACCCTAAAGTCGCCCCGAGGTAACCTCTCTGGAGGTTAGCTCGAGGTGCTACTCGGGCTATGGTCAAAGTTCACAACTTCCCCCCGATGTGACCCTCAGGTTGGTGTTCGAGGTGACTCTGTTGTTACCTCTTGCTCGGTAAATCGAACCAAAAGGTTTGGTGCCCGATTGGCTGCCAGTTTGTAGCGAAATCGTGTTTTGTTACATCGCTGGTAACCAAGAATTGAAATAGTTTTTGATATGGTATAATCACAAATTCGACCCCCGATTAAGTAACCATTATGTATTTCTGAAGATAATGCTAGTGTGCACTGTAGATCTCACTGCATAGATTGAAGTTATAATTTTGTTTCCTACTATTTGCTATGTTTAGATTAATGCTGCTTTTGTCAAACTGAAAAAGGACCTTGCTTTGTTCATTACCCATATGCAGGTTGTATAGCTTCGCCTCTAGTGTTGTATACATGGAGCGTCAGCCAGGAAAATACAAGGCAATTTATTTATATGCAGGTGGGAATTGTCAACATCCATGCACACGTACTCATATATCCTAGCCTGCCTACACCATTGAGTACTTCTGCCAAAGCAATCACACATCACAATCGTTGCAGCACAAACGCAGGTTGAGCATGGCAGATTATTCTATCAAGCATCCCTAATCAGCTTCCGTGTGGACAAGTGACACCAGCGGTGTCATTCCACCCTGCTGGCTTATTGGCATCCTAAGGTGCCGTCATCCGCACCTGCTATGACCGTGCTGCCTAATTCTCATAAGGAGCTGGTACTTCTTCCCAATGGGCCTGCTTAGGCTGCTGCAGTTGCCGCTGAAACTTCTGCCCCGGCTGCCGGTACGGCTGTTGCTGCGTCTCCCGCTGCTGCTGCTGCTGCTGCTGCCGCTGCTGCTGCTGCTGCTGCTGCTGCTGCTGCTGCTGCTGCTGCTGCTGCTGCTGCTGCTGCTGCTGCTACCGCCGCCTATGCTGCTGCTATTGCTGCCGCTGTTGGGCCAAGTCTTGCGGCTGGCTCTGCTGCCGCTGCTGCTGCTGAATGTACGGATGTGTCCCCTCAACAAGAGAACCCGATTCTGTTACTCCCGTCTGCTGAATTATCGCCGCCCAAAAAGCTGCCAGCCGCTCAGGCTACCCCAACCCCTGCTGCTGCTGCCCCAGCCCCTGCCCCTGCTCCTGCCTCTGCCCCTGCTGCTACTGCCCCAGACCCTGCCCTTGCGCGTGCCTCTGCCCCAGCTGCTGCTGCCCCAGACCCTGCCCTTGCTCTTGCCTCTCCCCCAGATGCTACTGCCCCAGACCCTGCCCTTGCGCGTGCCTCTGCCCCAGCTGCTGCTGCCCCAGACCCTGCCCTTGCGCTTGCCTCTGCCCCTGCTGCTACTGCCCCAGACCCTGCCCTTGCCCTTGCCTCTGCCCCAGCTGCTGCTGCCCCAGGCCCAGCCCTTGCCCCTGCCCCTGCCCCTGCTCCTGCCGATGTTGCTCCGCCTGTTGTTGCTGCATCTGCTGCTCCTGCATTCGCTGCCTTTCCAGCCCAATCCTCCCGCCTCCTGCTGCCTGCTGCCCCCCTGCCCGGTTGCAACCCCCTCTGTCGCCTGCGCCGGTGCTGCTGCCAATGCCTCAACGTCTATCTGCCCTTCCCACCCTGCAGCCACTTCTGCAGCAGCTGCTGCCGCCGCCGCGTTAAATCACGTGATACGGGGAGCCAGGTCTATCCCGTCGTCAGATATGACGACGAAGGCCTGGTGCTTGAAAGCCCAGGCCTTCTGTGTGGTCTTCCACCAGGGGCCGTGCTCCTGATTCCTCTCAAGAATGGCGTGGCGCGCCCACGCCTTCAGGCGAGAGTGGTACCACTGCACCGTCCTCCCGTTCTGGGGGCGGCTTTTCTTGAGTGACGCCTTCTTCAGAACTGGCGTCTAGACCTGCAAGGACGAATGAAAGAGTCACGGGGTGTTATTACGTGTTGCTGCCTGAGTGCATAAGCTCTCTCACTTAATGAATGGGTAATATGTTTTTGCTTACCCCAAAGAGCCAAAAGGCTATTGTGTATAGCTTCAAGACCAGTGGGGGTGCCGCTCCAGTCTTGAAGGTCGCGTAGATGCCGAGATCAAAGGATTCCTTTGAGAATGGAATGTCCGGCGTGTCTTCGTGGCAATGCCATGGCATCAGGTCGTGGGTAGTGGCACCTGTGAAAACACGAGCAAGATCCGGAGTCGGGGAGCGTGTATGGCATGCACGTGTGTGTGGGGGAAAGCAAGTGAGGGTTTAGGAAGCACTGAGATACGAGGCGACATGGGAAGTGCCAAGGGTGGATTGTGGTGATCAGGGCAGGTGTGGTGGTGTAGCGGTGGGTGGTTGGAGTAATACGTGGCCTAGAGCAGTTGCAGCATGTAAGATCCAACTGTGGGCAGACACGGACAGCAACTTGCAGGACACTTAGGTGCAACTTACACGAGGCATACTTCCTTGGGAATTGCTCGTCTGTAATGGGCTCGACCACCGTTGGGTCGGGAGTCGCCGGTGGAACCACGCGCGAGCTGGGTGGCTTGGTATATGGCAGGCCGTTGAGCACACGAAACTGCGCTCGCGCGTCAGCCCAAATATCGGACCGCAGCTTCTGCATGAGAGTGTTGAAGCACTTGCTGCGCGCTCGGTCCCGCTCGAACACAAGGTGGACCCGCGAGAGATCTTCCTTGCTCGTGAACTCCATGGCGTGTGCCATGGAGCGCACAACGAGGCCTTCGTCAGGCCAATACGACATCTCCGCATCCGGTACTTCGTGCAGGAGGAACTGATGTGCCTTGTCTGCCTTATCCTGGTGACATGTGAGGGGTTGTGAGGTGAGAATAGCACATTTGGGTCATGTTAATGACAAGGGTACCCTGACGGGCGGTAACGAGCCAACGGGCAGGTCAATCGCGTAGACGGCCTATACATGGAAACGGGGGTCTTTATATTCGTGCCTGGAATCCAAAGTTGACCCTCGGCAGCGCACGATCCGCATCGATAAGCGTGCCGACCCATCCCTGCATGCCTTCGCTCAGGGGAAGATGCTCGGCGTAGCGCCCTTGAAATTCCTGCTGCATCGCCTCGTGCACGAACGTCGAATACTGAGTGGGAGGATACACGGGAGGCGGGTGGGGGTTGGAATGCGGGGCCGCTCCGCGTGAGCTTCGCTCCGGGGCGTTTCTTGCCTCGGTGTGCTTTGCTCGTTTACTTCGTGTGTCGTCGTTCGGCTCGCGATCCTGTTGAGTCGTTCCGGTCTGGTTATTGCTGTCCATCTCCAGAATCTGCAGGTCTTGCGCCCGAATCCGTGCGCGAAGCGAGTCGACGAACTCCTGGGTGTACCGAGTACGCGACTGGCTAGCTCGACTTGGCGGTAAAACAGGTCCTCTCCCTCCGGAACGTGCGCTCGCCGGTAACCCGTCGCGATCGACCGAGGGTGCTCTCGGGGCAGCGTCAGATACCACAGAGACGGGACGTTGCTGACGCTGCCTCTCTGTATGGCGGGGTGAGGAAGTATGCCAAGTATACTCATGAGATACACACGAGATGCGGATTGCTAGAGCCTCATATCCATGTAAGCGTACACTGCAAGGTGCTATCGCAGTCCTCCTCACTCACCTTCATACTCTTCGTCAATGGGGTCGTAGTCATCATCGTGTCCACCCGCATCGTCCTCGTGTTCAATCTCGGCGGCCCATGTAGCGTAGCCGGTGTCGTTGGTGACACCCTCACGGTTTTGTGTCACTGGCCGAGCATGATTCGCCGCGTCTATCTCATGTCTTGCGAAATCCTTCCTCCTATAGTTTGGCGGGTAGTAAACGAAAGCTTTATCAAGCGATTGACGTGATGTCACGAGGCGAGAGGAAGCGCGAACGGCTTGCGGGCAAGGAGAACTCTGCCGATACATTGTGCTAACATAGGATATCCAAACCAAATAGTGGACTGGCCTTGCAGGGGGCGTCCCGCTGCTTAAATATAGCAAACTCGTACTGGCGGCTCCTTGTTCGCAGCGCGGAAGCAAGAAACTAGGATGGCGTTCAAGAAGAGCAAACGCAAGAAACGATGGGGTGCCATCCTAGAGATCCAAGTCATCTTCGTCGCACAACGATGGAATGATAGCCGGCGGACCTTTGATTTCACTCGCTACGGGCTGTCACGTTTGCTTCTACTTTCTCAGTAGCCGGAAAATGGAGCACCGAGGCGGATTCGTATGTGGTAACACATGCACGCGTTCCCATTCTTTCGTGACTCTTATCCGTGGCTAATGAGACTCTCAGCCTTAGCTGCTGTTACTGGTATTGCAAACGAGACTCTATGCCATGGCTGCTGCTCTCCCGCGCGACCCTATTTCGGGAAATCTCAACAGCTGCATCTTTGCAAATCTGATATGAGTCCACGCGCCGTTTCGCCGAAGAGTGTGCAGAACAGAGAGCGGGTGTATTTTTGCCACTCCTCGCTGTTCGACAGCGGAGAAAATATTTGAAATGCTGGGGGTGGGGATTGCTGTCCGTGCATCATTATCGACGCACGCTTTATTTTCCTGGGAAACCGCGCATGTTGGGGTCAGTTTTTATGTTTCACTTCTCAGAACCCCATACGCTCGAGAAATATTTTCTGCTGACTTGATTTTACTAAGTGGAATGCCTCTTATATACTCTTGCGGGCGATGTGGTGGTGCTACTGCGAACGCATTCATGTCCCTGACTGAACTCAATCCCTCGGGCTATTTATGAAATAGGTGCGACTGTGTCCTCTGCACCCACCACTGTTGCTCTCCAGTGTGCAGGTCAAATGTTCTAGAGAAATCTACGATGTGCGAATACGCATGGCAGTGCCTGTTTCCGGTCACATGCACCTCCCCCCTTCGGCGGGTGGTGAGCTTGCCGTGCCAGGGGTACTGTGCGTGGGATCGTGCCAAGAGCGCCCGTATGACGTGCTTGGCCACTCCACGTACTGACACGCCTTGCGCCGGAGGACGGAGTAAATCCCCACAGTCAAGATGGCAATGTCATTTAGTTGCTGCTCCGATACAATAACTAGTCTCTCGCTACTTGATCATGGTGAGCCGTAGATATACAATATATATTCACATTAGCCCGTATATACAAAGATACATATCATGCTCAACGCACACATAAATAGATACGCATAGTTATGCGCTCTTACCGAACATCTGTGGCACGAGGCAATGGACAATCGCATCCCCGGTGTCCCGAACCGGGTGACGCCAGGGGTATACTAGGAGGTTACACCCTTCTACATACCGCCAACTCCTAGTTCTCATGCCTGGACGCTCCCACCAAGCACGCATACCTAGTGCATGAGACAATACACCCACAGACATCCCGTCCTGTCCACCAACATGCGTGTAGTTTGGTGTCTCGTTGGCGCCACGCCCTGGCAGCCGTACATGCTGGAACACGACCCGAGCATCTCTTTCGTCTTCGCGGTCATACATCCCTCGTTCCACCTGGTGAACAAGCACGACAGTGGGTTCTGTATACGTGAATATCCAAGTGTTATGCAAAGTGGGTTTGAATGAACCGGCAAAACTTACCACCCATCCTTCACTCATGGCGAAATCCATGAGGTATGTCCTGTAGTGGTACGCGGGTTGCATGCTAGCACTTAGTGTTGACAGCCCCGTCGCATCGTAGTTGATGTTGCGGAAATCTGATGCTAATTCCTTGAATGCTGAGAGGTAACCACGGCGCAGGAAGAAGTCTTGCTCGTCATTGTATAGCGTTACAATGGATAGTTTCTCGACCTCGGTAAGCGAGCTAACATCGTAGCGCCCTCGGAACTCACTAATCGCCTTGATCACGCTTCCGCGAACGCAGTGTGCGGCAGTCCGACTACGTGTTGTCAGACAACGGAGGCTCTCTTCTAAAATACGAGGAGTCACCGCCGCACGTAACGCGTTGCGCCGGAGAAACTCATTTTGAAGCCAAACACTCGATACCTCAGGGTAATCGCGTACTAAATCGTCTGTCGTTTTCGGGCGTTTAATAGGCGGGTCGTCTAAAGGCCATGTGGGACCACGGTCTGCCCCCCATGGATTCTGGGGGCCAAGACATTCTTCACGGTACTTTTCTTTGGCTGGGTTAAACATGTTACTAATGGTCAGAGAGGTAACTAAGAGACCTAGGAAATCCGCATACAATCTGCTTCAATCAAGAAAACGTCGACTTCATATCCCAGGAGCATAGGAGCAAGAATTAATTCCAGGGGCTGTTCAGATAGTCACACGAGTAAGGCGTGTTCAAAGTGGGTCCTGGAGGTTCAGCTCTGAGGTAAAAGTCGCCCGAATTTCGCCCAAAACCACTAAGCCAGTTCCCAGTCGTGGGCATCAATTTCTAAAACTTGGTTGTCGCGAGAAGGCCACTCGGTGATAACGGAACCGAGTTTCATGTGATTTCCGCGCCTTGCCATGACGTCAGAAGCGCCGTGAAGCTATCGTGACATTCACGGCCACGATGGACGGGGGTGTACCGAAAATCCACACGGCATACGCTTTGTTGAGTGTTTCCAGGTTGTACATCGTCACCTTTCTTACTTTGTAATATTCGACACACGTATGAGTGATTGGCAACACAACCCATTTCAACCACTTCATATCGGCACAAGGCTATCGCGCGTCCAGCCGGCGTTATGACAGGTTTCTGTACAGGCATATTCTCCCTCACCTTCAGCGATTCATAGACACCGTTTTAGCAGCCACCCGTGGTAGACCCTGCCCCGTCTCGGCTCTGCGGCTCGCCTCGCTTTCTGTACGGGAACCGACTCGCGGTTCCACCGTAACACCTAACGCCCTTTCTTTATTCAAGGCACGGATTAGTTTACTACTCAAAGTCGACCACCTGACTCTATAGCGCTGCAAGAACTCTCGCGCACTGTGTGTGTTTTTTGGATTCAGTTCGAAATATGCCGGTCTCCCATCCATTGTTCCGTTCATGACCTTATTTTCGCCAAGCCGCTCCCTTTTCGCATTTCTTTTTTGCGCACGGGGACGTTTTACATTCCTCGACTCCCCCCTTCCCATCCGCCCTTATCTTCCGTTCCCCTACCAACCTGTCCCGGTCCCTATGCGCCTTGACTGGCAGTGTGCCGCAAGCGTGCGTGGCGACGGCGGTGGCAGGCACCGAAAGGGTAGTGGTGCTGAGGGGCAAGAAGGTGGTGCTGAGGGGTAAGAAGGTGGTGCTGAGGGGCAAGAAGGTGGTGCTGAGGGGCAAGAAGGTGGTGCTGAGGGGCAAGAAGGTGGTGCTGAGGGGCAAGAAGGTGGTGCTGAGGGGCAAGAAGGTGGTGCTGAGGGGCAAGAAGGTGGTGCTGAGGGGCAAGAAGGTGGTGCTGAGGGGCAAGAAGGTGGTGCTGAGGGGCAAGAAGGTGGTGCTGAGGGGCAAGAAGGTGGTCCTGAGGGGCAAGAAGGTGGTGCTGAGGGGCAAGAAGGTGGTCCTGAGGGGCAAGAAGGTGGTCCTGAGGGGCAAGAAGGTGGTGCTGAGGGGCAAGAAGGTGGTCCTGAGGGGCAAGAAGGTGGTGCTGAGGGGCAAGAAGGTGGTCCTGAGGGGCAAGAAGGTGGTGCTGAGGGGCAAGAAGGTGGTCCTGAGCGGCAAGAAGGTGGTGCTGAGGGGCAAGAAGGTGGTCCTGAGGGGCAAGAAGGTGGTGCTGAGGGGCAAGAAGGTGGTCCTGAGGGGCAAGAAGGTGGTGCTGAGGGGCAAGAAGGTGGTGCTGAGGGGCAAGAAGGTGGTGCTGAGGGGCAAGAAGGTGGTGCTGAGGGGTAAGAAGGTGGTGCTGAGGCGCCTTGAATGCGTGCGCCTTGTCGCCTTGAATGCGTGCGCCTTGGCGCCTTGACTGCTTGCGCCTTGGCGCCTTGACCGCTTGCGCCTTGACTGCAGTGGAAGTGAGTGCGTGGCTCAGTGCGATGTGCGAATATGTGGGGGAATGCGAGGACGAGGGCGTGACGGAGTGCGTGAGTGAGTGCCTGTCTGCGCACGCGAGGTATAGTGCGAGAGTGAGTGCTAGGCTGAGTGCGTCGCTGAGTGATGGAGTTTGTGCATGGCGGACTGCCAAAGTGAGTGAGTGACTGAGTGCGTGGTTGTGTGCGTGCCCGATTGTGTGTGTGAGTGCGTGGCTGCGGGCGACAGTGCTCGCGTGTCTGAGAGTGAGGGTGTTTGATTGGCTGCGTGAGAGGGTGAGTGCATGGATGCGCAAGGGTGAGGGGGTGAGTGCGCGATTGAGTGCGATGTTGAGTTACTGATTGAGTGCGAGGCTGACTGCAAAAGTGCGAGCGAGGGTGAGTTGCAACAGAGTTATGAGGGTGCGTGCGAGGGTGAGTGCGTACCCTTACGACGGTCTATGTATCCGCGGCGTTCTTCCAGCCCATCCCTGTCCCTGTCCCCATCCGCAGCCAATCCCAATCCCCATCCCCATCCCCATCCCCATCCCCAATGCCATTCCAACTTCCATTCTCCAGTCACTGGCAAGCTGCGGGTCATAAGAGTCTCGGTCATTCCTGGGAACAATCGCCCGAATCCGTCGACTCACGTGTCTACCCTGTCCCCACCCGTCCCGTGCATGTTCTTGCACCACAATTGCTGGAAGTGCCCTTCATCAGCAACACGGTGATTTGGAGAGACTCACGTGATTCGCACTGTACATGAACGGCTAACACTACCTCTGGATTGGGTGTCACTACAACTCCTTGAACTCGAATTCAACAATGGAAACCGACGAGTAAGACCATTAGAATCATCGCAACAGCAACTATAACATTCAATGATGCTGAGTCATCTCCCCTCGCAATCATCTCCTTGGTTACTCGGTAAAGTTATGTATCTTGACGTCATTCCATCAAAATCCAACTTTTGTGCCCGTGATGCATGTTTTTCAGTGCTCGTCGCGGGCTGGCAACGTTCATATTCGTGTACCTCTGTGAGTTCTGCGATAAAATTTTCAAACAGCGTGGACACTTGCTGAATCACAAGCGCAAGAGCAAAAAGTGTCGACGATGCAGACTTCGCAGATCTCAACGGAGCCAGCACGATGGGGCGGACTCGATTCCAGACGATGACCACAACGAGGGGCCGGCAGCAGACGATTCAGAACGATATGCACCGTCAGAGGGGGAGGTATGTCAGTAACAGCCGTGATATGCACACGGGTGGTTGAAATCACTCCCATTTCTGAGATGTGTCTCGTGTGTATTGTTGATGCATGCGGTTGCACATATCTGCATGTCTGTCACAGGGAACCGAACCCCCTGATACGGGTGCCGATCCGAGGTGTGGGAGCAGTCACGGTAATAGCAGCAAAAGTGCGTCAACAGACTCCGACGAATCCATGCGTGACAGGAGAGAATCGGTCTTTGATACGGAGCTCGAACTGTACAGGTTCATCATGAGCTGTAACAACGGCAAAGGGATGTCTAGTAAGGACACCTCGAGGCTATTTAGAATCCTACACGATGCAGGACTTGACCTTTCAAAGGTTAGAGGGTGGAGGTCAAAGCGTGCAGTGATAAAGTACGGACTGAAGCGGCTGATGGGCAAGAGGAAATACATTGAAACCGAAGTGCGCATTCCAGGAGTGAGGCGGACATTCAAGGTCATCCACGCCGGTGGCATTTCGGTGAGGAAATCCGATCTCCGAGTGCAAACCAGTTGTGACCAACGCTCTGTCTTCCCGCTATTGTAAGACAGGTAGGCAGAAAAACTCATGCTCCAACTGCGCATAATGCTGCCACCTTTTTATTCAGGCCTTGGAGGAGCTTTTCAGCCATGCTGCGAACAGGCCAGGCTTCGTTCTTCACCCTGTGCGAAAGCTCGATTCGGACGGGGAGCCTATGTTCTCTACCCCACACACAGCCGACTATTGGCACGATGCGCAGGTATGGATTGGCCGTTCTTTAGGATGCTTATTTCCCTCTCACGTGTCTCATACCAGGTTGAAAGCCATGTCATTGCCTAAATCCCTCCATATGTACCATCATATGCTCTTTATGAACGTCCCATCCCCTTGGTCTTGACCTTCAGGAGCCCTTCGTCCCATCCACTTTCCCTTTTCCATCTCCGCTTTTAACGTCGATTATCTGAGTCCTCAACTAAGGCTCTCTCATAACACTCTGCGCCGCGTGATATATCGCACGCGCACTGTTGTAGAGAGTGAGTGTTCTTACCTCCAACACAACACACCCATGCTGAATGTTTCATGTAACATCGTGACACAGGCGTGGTTGGACAAGAAGTTTGGACCGGGTCAGGTCATTGCCCCCCTAATCATTGCAAGTGATGCAACGATACTGAGTGGCAATGACCGCCAGCGTGTCTGGGCCGTATACCTGAGCATCGCAAACATCGCTCTTCGTCTACGGTGGCGTGACGAGGGGCGCATTCTGCTCGCTCTGCTGCCGGAGGGGGACAAATCGTTCACACCCGCAGAGAAGGTTGCGCTATTCCAGGCAGCGATGGCGGTCGTGCTTGAAGACCTCACCAAGGCCTCCCACACGTGAGTGTTCTCTCCCAGAAGGAACAATTGGATACCATGCCTCGCACGGATACCGGGCCACAATGACTCTGGATACATTTTGTCAACCCGTCCCACAGCGGTGTGGCATTGCGCGACCCGTGGGGAGTGCCACACATGGTGTGGCCCATGGGATTCTCAGTCGTGGGAGACTACCCCGAGTCCTCCAAGGTCTCCTGCACAATGCAACAAAACGCCGACATGCCGTGCTCCCTGTGCTATGTTTTGAGAACGCACCTCCGCGATATGGATTGCACCCCAGCTGAGTGCAGGACCGTAAAGCAGCAGAAGTACCTGTCCGGCAATGCGGCGCTGGCTGCAATGTACAGCACCATTCCTATTGCTGTACGTATTGCAAATTCATCTGGTTTTCCATGGACATCCATTCATTGCAGCCTAGTCGAAGCATGGTTCATGTCTGTGGGGCGTTGGTGTCACGTGTTCTTCTCTTTGTACGTTGCGGCAAATGTGTAGACATTCATTTGGAGCTTTTACGGATGTGAGGAGGAGTGGGGTAACACGTACCTTGCTATCATGCCTGATCTGCTACATCTCATTTACATCGACCTTTGGCTGTATGTAAGGCGGGGCATTCGCGGCAACGATGACACAGCACCAATCTTGGACGAGTAAGGGCATGCCCATCCTTTCTAATACGACCACCCTTGGCCTAGGCATGATATAAAACTTGGCACATTTCTTGAACAGCCGAAGCGAGTCAACGCACGCGTCATCAAGACTTGCCGGTGTCTTGGTCCCTGCATCAACTACCTATTGGGCATCCGGCGCTAACCATACAGCCTCGGAGCACGCAGCCATGATTACGGTATGTTACTACACCGCTCCTAGCCTGCCTCGTGGTTTGTAGTGAAATGATCTCCAGAATCACAACCGTTAGTTCCAGGGCATTAAAAGTTGTTGCATGGATTCTTCCCTACGTGGCAGGTCGCTCCTTTGATTGTTGAGGGAACCATGACCTTTGTCCAACACATCATGGAATGGCACGAGACGCACATACGCGCCCCGCATCACACGAAGGTGTCGTTGGCGGACATGGCAACCGACACACGTCTGTGAGTGAATGCTTTTTGCATGCACCAGCTGTCCTTGTCAACCATGGATTGGCTGTCCCTGCAGCATGAGACATGGGCTAACGCCGTTTGTATTCCCAATGTGCAGCATGATTCAACAGTTAGAGACGAACTTCCCACGTACACGAGACGGATGGAACATCATAAAGGTGCATCTTGCAATACACGTGCCTGGATCTATTCAAAGGGCCGGTGTGCCCGCCGAGTACTCCGCGGCGCCGTACGAGAACGCGCACGTGCGCACATGCAAACAGCCCTACCGGGCCTCGAACAGGCGTGAGATTGGCATGGCCATCGCACACCACAACGAGCAGCAGTCCATGCTGTCGGCACTGCCACCACCATCGGTACAACACCGAGTGTACGACACGGCACTTATCGCGGTGAGGCATTGAAGTTGCAGCTCTTATTCCCCAATGCTATCGTATACAATCTGTGCATGCAACCTGATTAGTCATGTTATGCCATCTGCCACACCCCTTCTCCGGAAACCCATTCACCCATCGTAGGCATCCAAGGACAACACCCCACGCCTCCTGAAAACCAGGAGGTGCATAGTGCAAGGACCCGTCCTAACTCCCACCGGAGTTGACGTCTACAAAGAGTACGACACTGCATATGAAGGTGGCATTGGTCCGTACTCAACCGTCATGCGCCGCGCTGGCCTCCGCGATTTCCCTGTTTGGGTAAGTGAGGACACAACGGGGTGAGTGAAGGATGTTTCAAAACGCTTCTACTGCTCCCTGTTTGGCCGCGAAATGGCACGTTGGAGGTGACGAACATTTGCCGCCTTTTTTGTGGTGCATAGCGCAAATATCGGGCCCGTTCTTAATATGTGCCAGAGTAGATCGGTCATGAATCAGAAACACAGAGTCATATGATGTTGAAGGGTTTCTTGTTGAAGAAGAACCTCACGCTCCCCCGTGTTTTTTTAACCCCTGCACAATTCTGTTATCGACACCGACACAGGTTCATACGGGGGTAGCGCTAACTTCATCGCCTAGTCGCGGCGGTAGCATCCAGCCGCACTATGCACGCGCAGTGCCGAAGCACCATGGCAATCCCGCATTCTCCTGGGTGCAATACAAGACGGCGCAGGGGGTGGAGTGTATCGGCCAGCTATGCCTGCTTCTCTCTTCGACCGACGATGCCGGTTCCGCGCAAGCGCAGAACAGGACCCCCGTTGCGGTTATCCGAAAGATGGTGCTCAGTAACGACCACGCGGAGACCGGGTGCAAGCAAATGACTTGGGCGGTTAGGGATTCAGGGTTTGAGGTGATCCCAATCAGCAAAATTGTGCGCACAGTTCATGTCGTGCAATCATTCGTTGATCCTCAAGTGTGGTACCTGAATAAGTGGGCGGACCGATGTCGGGAGGAGCACACGTCCCTCGCATGATATTGGACTACAGGCTCCCAGCAAGTAAGCGTCAACGGACGCATCAAACGCACTGTAACAAACACCCCGACTGACTTGCCATTGAGCGTTTCAGGAATCCTCTCACCGTGTTCTGTTTTATACAATACAACCACCGGGCTGACTTGACCGCGTGCCCCGGTATGTCCTCCGTACGTATCCCCGACCCCATTTTATATTACAATCATGTGCTTGGCCACCATATTCTACGCAAATGCAGGTAGAGAAACACACGATGTGTGGCGGAGGTGTATGACGCACCTATGCCCGTAAGCCACGCGAATCCCAGTGTGGGGTGTGGCCTGTACTTATCTCAGTGCGTGGAAAAAATTCCCCTGTCTCTCTGTGCTTATCACAGTATCCAATGTCTCTGTCTTTCAAGGCAGCCAAACTCACTGGGTCTCCATGCCTCTCTCCCCCATGTGATTCGCCCCGGTGCCAGGAATACGAGCCCATCCAAACCCGGGTGCTCACGTTGGTCAGCACAGGCACCACGGAGCAGTCCTGCGCAGGGAGAGGGGAAGAGAGTGCACCAAGAGTGTAAGACGGGTCATGCATGTCATCCTATTGTGCCTGTCTGTGCTCAAAGGGGACTACAAGCATCTGTACTACAAGGTGGGCTAGCAGCCCTTTGTCAAGCGACTTTAGCGCGTTGAGATACTAAATGCTATTGCCAACGACTGCAACTCCCACAATATTGGTAACTACGTGACCTGGGAAAGGGGAAAAGGGGGTTCGGTCGGTGGGAGGAATGTAGATGTGCCTTGAAAGTCGGTACAGGCCGTACATGGGCAGCGCCATTGCCAACGACAGCAACGCATACGATTTTCATCAGGGCTGGGAGGGCGAGGGAGGGGGGAAAGGGGGTGGGAGGGCGAGTGTTGGGGGAAAGGGGGTGGGAGGGCGAGGGAGGGGGGAAAGGGTTATTTTTGGTGGCTCTTTCGGAGTAGGTTCAAGCAGGAAATGCATACAGCTGATGACTTCGACATCAAAGCACCACGGGGTGCCAGGCGAGTGAGTGAAAGGTAGGACCTGGTGGGAGATAGGGGGGTGTGCGGGGATCGAGTGGGATTATGAGGATGGAGAACGGAGAATGTAACAGAGAGTGGAAGCAGCCTGAGTGGAAGCCATCTCTATTGGCTTCCCTCCCCTACTGTCCGTCCCCCCCCCCCCCCCCCCCCCCCTTCCCAAAACCCAGGACACAAGCTGATAGTGTATGCACACTAATTTGAATTGTCCATCGCACGAGAGGCCATACGGGCGACGGGGCAAGTATAGCTGCAGCGCCACGATGTGCTACGGCTGTGTGGACACCGTGGTGCAGTTCCTGTTTCTCCCTCGGTGGATTCTAGTGCAAGGGATGTGGCACAGCAGTCAGGGTGTCAGTGGGTGGTGGCATTGTGGACCACCTACTCATTGCAATTCATGGAGATGGATACTGCATATGTCACAGGTGAGACTCATGTATGTGTAAGCGTGGATCGCAGCAGCCTATACTGTACAACCTCATCCACCTCAATGTCTCCCTCCCACACCCCTACAAGATGCTGATGCGTGATCGTATGATCAAGTACCGAGAGTAAGCGATCGACTGCACTGCCATGGTGGGTTATTTGAGCTCTCGAAATGCTCTCTCGCTCTGCCTTCCTAATCCGTGTAGTCACAAATCCCCTCCCCCCTCCCCCTTCCTCCAGGTGCTGGTGCGGGAATACATCGCCAGTGGTGGGCGCTATGAGCTCTCGCTTGCCCCGGCAATCCCTCATCAGGCTCAACGATTCCCCGCCCACCCTTCCCTCTGCCTCGAACCCAGGCCGTGGGACATGGTCTACTGCTCAAGTACCCACAGTGGGTGCAGGACCGCAGCGGCGTGGTGGGCTCTGTGAGCTAAAGCTCAACTGGGCAAAGCCGTTTAGGCTTAACAATAAACTGCCCCCCATTCTCTCTCATTCCACACCCAGACCAGGTGCGCATAACCCCGAGCACGTTCCTCCCGTGGGATCAGGAAAACAGTGCCGTGGTGGACTCTGTGGTGCACCGTCACCAACCCGCGGGTCAAGTAGGCGCTGGTGTGGGTGCAGAGCGAGTATGCGCCAGCCTATGGCAGACACCCTGTACACACCCCCCGGGTTTGTCAACTTGTGGGGAGATGGCGAAGAACACCGAGCTAAAACCTGGGCAGTACAGCAGTTTGGGCGGGTTTGAGGGAGTGAAAGGCAAACATGCGGGCCGATACATTGCGCTGGTGGGAATTCTTAGCGAGTATAACCAGCACATGTCAGACGCCTCATACGCACTAAGGAGTTAAGGTAATTACGAGTTACCAGCTTTGCACGACCACAGCACGGTAGCCGTGTGTGGTGGACGTTGCTTTATATTCTGAACGTAACCACAAACCGTGCGTTCACAGATGGCAAAGGAACCCTCAATTCTGAATAGATTGTGTTCTTGATTTTGCGCAGCGCAATATAATTTTATAATG